CCCGAGTAGGTGTGATGCTCTCATCACTTACCTAGAAGGCACTTGTTCATATTTTCAGGTGGAATTACAGGCAGGTGATTTTCAAAGGCCTAATTCTTCTAAGCAAATGCGGTCTTGCCTCAGGCTGAAGAGCTACCCGTCTCATATACAATGGTTCATTACCATGAAAAAGAAGAAAGTGATTAACTGCAAAAATTTTGTTATATTTAACTTTCTAGGGATGGATTTGGTAAAGAATAGCACAAGAGATGTTTAATAGCTTTATATCCTGCTTCGTAACCGGCCTATTTTGTAACTCTGTATGTTATTAGGGATGGAGCACGCAAAGGCTAGTGCTGTCCCTGAGGACACTGTTTCCAGGCCCTAACAGGGGGCCAGGAGGAGGGAGAAAGAACAGCATAAAGACAGAACCTCTAGCAAGGGTCAGGTCCGGGAATAACTTGCCAGGCTGTGGAAATTAATGTCAGCGCCCACTCTTTGTGCATCTGGGCAGAATCACGTATAAACTTTCCTCTTTCGGGTGTCCATGAAGTGAGGGCCCTGTGCTGGGCAGTGATGAATCCAGGACATGGCCTCTGACTTAATTGTGTTTATGTGATCTTATGTTATCTGGACAAGAGGCTGAGCGGAGTTCAGTCCTTTATTGAGATATTTGGTTGAGCCAAGCATTTGTCCACATTTCCATCTCAGTTTTATTTTCCCAGTGAGGAACTGAAACAGAGAGAACTCATGGGGGGAGTCTATTGAATTCCTGAAACTCTAGTTCATTTGTAAGTCACGAATAGATAACAATATGCATACATACTAAATATATTATAAAATGTCTGGTGAGATACTTTAAGAAAATGCTTTTGAAATCTTGCAAAGTAATTATTATTATCTACTTCTAGTTTTCATTTTGCTTGTTCAACACTATGCTCTTGAAGATTGACACCACTGTAATCTGATTTTGAGATACAAATTAGTGGTATCTTAACTGGGGAAATGTCTCATCTTACTCTTAAATTTAAAATACTGGCTCTAATCCTGATAGGGGACCTTTCTGAAGAAGCATTATTTTGTTTCTTACCCTGTCTCGCATCTACATGAATGAAGAGAAAACCAACAATATTGAGTGTTTATCCATTTACACATTTCTGCCCCCTCACTCTCATCTATAAAGACACAGCTTTTCAATTGCAAATTTCCACCTCTATGGGCAAACAGCAAATAATGAAGCTGTGTTACTAACAACAGAAAAAGAAAAAAAACCATATGAAACCATCCATAAAACACGTTATCTGACTAGCAATAAGGTATGGCATGATGAATTCTGGTACGTCGCTAAATAGCATATTACACAATTGTTAAATGATAATTAGGAACTCTACATGGACAGGAAAACATTCTTAGGCTATAATTAAAAGATTAAAGAAAAGCACATGATTATAATAGGTAAGGCGCATATGCACATAGAAGGGGCCTGAAAGATAATATGCTAAAATGGAAATACAGTAGTTCTGTTAGGATAGTGGGACTGTGGATTTCAAAAATATTTTCTTCAGTGTTGTAAAAGAATAGTAACAGTGAATTCACCAAATAAATGATGCTGTGGGTGTAGAAGGGAGATAGTAATAAACAAGTAAAGGTTGGATATTACAAAAGGGAAAAACATTTAAAAGAACGAATCTTTCTTCCCACATTTCCCTGCTCAAAGGACGTTAAGATCCATAGTATTGAAAGCATTTTCAAAGAAGCTGGTTAGTAGGGTTTGGAAGGGAGCCTGAAGTTAACTACATCTGAATTTTTCTTACCATGACAATTGCAATAGAAACTAAGTCTTGAAACAGTTGTCTAAATCTACTCCAGCTTGGGTATCTTGGCTGAATTCACACTTTGGAATCAAGAAACAGATTAGAAAAACACACACCCATGTGCATAATAAACCGGATTATTGAGCAAGAGAAATTCAATAGAGAACACTTCAAAAATAAAATGCTTATTTAAAATCAAGTTGAAATGACTATTTGGATTAACAGCAAATAAAAAATAACTAATGCCTACTTAAATTTATGTCTGTCTGAAAGCTGTAAAGGACACCAGAAGCAATCCTCATGTCTATTATGTTAATATTAGCAATGCGCTAGAATTGTTGGAGTGAGCTGCTCTGTTCTCTAACAGGCTCAGACACTCCTTGTTTTCCATCTCTTCCACCTCTAGTCAAAAGTGACCATTTGACCCTGAATGGTGCTTAACAAGTGTTGATTTGGGGGCTGAGGCTAGCTTGCTCCACATTAGGAGGGGGTTGCTTAATGTAAGATGTCAAGAAAAATTCACACACACAATCACACATCTTATGCTTTTGGGTCAAAGTTAAGCCTCCCAGCTCAATATTTGCAAACACGTATTTTAGCATTGCAGAAAATTCCTTCAAATGCATGTTTAGATACCTTTAAGTATCTTAAGTAGGTGGATGGAAGAAGAAATCTGAAGTAAGTTTCTTTTGAAATAGAACTTGAAAGTGTGATAAAATACTTATATCAAAGCTACTAGTTGACTTTGGATTTGGATTGGAGTGTGTGTGTGTGTGTGTGTGTGTGTGTGTGTGTGTGAGAGAGAGAGAGAGAGAGAGAGAGAGAGAGAGGGGGAGGGAGAGAGAGGGAGGGAGAAAGAGAGAGATGAAGGAGTTGGAGCTCATTCTAAGAAATCAGCAAGTAACTTTTCCAAATCCCAAACCATACCTGACAGTACAAGCATCTCTTTTCAGACCCTGTGTAAGATTTGCTGAGCCTCTGAACATTTCTCTCTGATGCCTTGCTATCTCCTCATCTCTAAAGCTGTCCACAGTGTCAAACAAATTAGAGGAAAGTTTTTATTCCTAAAAGTTATCCAATAATTTTCACCTTCTTAGAAATATGATTTCCCTCTTTCAGAATGTGTTAGAATTATAAAGAGGTATTGTGATTTTAGGAAACTATTTTCCCTCTGTGCCAAATCCAAAGTAAATTACATTTAGTGCAAGGGTTTCTATTAGATTATTTGGGGCTCCAATATTAAAAACTTTCTTCTCAAATATATTTTACTCTGAATATCTTCATTTTATTCCAAGAAATGTATTTTGTGGAATAAAAAAATATTTGGTAATAAATCTGCTTTCACATATCTACAAAATTCTTTTTAGAAGTAGCAAGGATTCAATCCATGTCACATAATTGTTATCATGAATTGCGTAACTTTGGCCTGCATTTTGCTGTAACTCATTTCCTGGCAATATATAAAGTGCCTGTGACATAATGCCATAGAATATTCAAACTGGGAACAAACCAAAAGATGAGCTAGTGTAAGTCAGTCCCACTCCCTGTTCAGGGAACTGAGGTGTGAGAAGATAAAATTTGCCCAGGTTCACCAATCTCATTTTCTGACATTTAAGCCCTACTAAAAAACAATTACATACTTTTGATGCTGTATTTGATTAGAAAAGTGTCATTTTTAAGGGCATAATTCTTAAGATGAGAATAACTGCTATATGTAGAGACCTGCAGAGTTGGACCTGAAACACACAAAGGAGGTATACTCGAAATGTTTGTCCTCAATTCCCCTTTCGGGAAAAAGTGTCTGAAACTATCTGAGCATTCGAAATAAATCATCATTCTTCAAAGGATGCAAAATTATTCTGGTCTTCAGGATGAAATATACCACCATTTCTGTATATAATTCAATATTTCTCTTCAACGGGGATCAGATAGTATTCTGGCTGATTGACCTCTTGTTTTTATAGTTGAGCAAGTGAAAGAGGAAATATATTTTAGGGTCTCATCGTGATTTTTCTCCTCAGCAGCAAAAAATTAAACATGAAATAAAGCAGACTCTTGCCATGTAATGTTCACTGATTAGATGAACTTAATAAAAACTGGGCTTTGGTTAAACCTAGTAGATTAACTCTCACTTCATTGGCACTTACAGTCTTTGGGAGTGCTGAACAAATGTACAAATCATGACATTTCCGACATTTCCAGAAGTTTAATCATTGCATTTCATATAAACTCTGCATAAAGTTCAAGACTAAGGTATTGATTTCATAGTCTTCAGATTTTAAAAGGCATATAAGAATAGGAATTACCAGTACATGTCTCCCCAAAATGTTAAAGACACCTGTATACATATGTAAAATCCATTTTGCCTGGATGAAAACAATTTCTAACCTATGAAAATATTACACTAAGTCATCTTGCACCTGATGAGGAAATTACACATGAATGATAGTAAATGTTAGAAAACACTTCAGATAAAGACCCAGTAAATCACTTTAGGTGAAGAATTTAATAACTAACAGCCATCTAAAAATGCTAGTTTTTCACATAGCTGGTCACATTTATTTAACTTTATTTGAAATTCCTGATCTTGTCCCAGGATAATATCATAAAACTCAATTACATAATTCAACTGTCTTTAACTCCCCTTTCTCCAGAAACTATCCTACCTAAGGAGGGATGTAGCTATTCTATCCTGATTTTTCTTTCAGCAAATACTAAGTGAAAAAAGCTTTCGACAGATTAAAATAATTTCTTATAATGAAGCATTAAATCGTTTTTCTCTTTCTTTCTTTCATTTTTTTTTCAGAGCTAAAGCAGTTTAGGGTCCCTATGGATAGCCCATGGATCATTTCATGCCTGGTTTCTGCAGCCCACTCAAGGTTTACCTTGCTTTTAGCAGGTACTGAGCGGCACTTGTTGGGTTATTTACAAAACATCTGACATGGTTTAAATTGTTAAAAAACAATCGGAACTGCTTCCTCTCCTACCCATTGCCTCTTCCAGTGTCCTTAACACTCATCACCCTTCCTTAAAATATGCCCCCAACATGCCTATTTACATGGCTCTCAGGCACCAGAGGTTTGCACACCCATCACATACCCGGGCAGTTTCTAACAGTGAGAAGCTGTTGGAGCAGGGCAGTTTCCTTCCATCAGGAGCTGAGTGTGGTCATGTTTCTATCAACAAAGCGACCCTTGTGTGCAAAGCTTAGACTATGGTCTCGTGGTCCCACCTGCCTTGGCTCTGATTGATGTAACAACAGTATCTGTCATAGGGGCTGTTCTGCTTGTAGGAGCACACGATGATACTGTCCTGGGGCACAAAGAAGATGCTGTCCTCGGGCTCCGGGCACTCGGACCTGTCCCAGGCCGAGCACTTGGCATCCAAGGCACTGCAGGCGAGGGAACTGCCTGAGGGACAGTAGCCGTCCAGGTATCTGGATGTGTCCTCGTGCAGCCCGCTGGGGACCAGGCTCTGGCATTCTCCTTCCTCCGTGGGGGTGGGGGTAGTGACGGCGCTGGCCACGGGCGCCTCAGCCTGCGCCGGGGCCAGCGGCTTCCCCCTGAGGCCTGCCTTCTTAGCCAGCTCATCCGAGCTGCCTTTGCCTGACTCCAGGTCCGAAGGGGTCCTCAGCAGCTCCACCACCTCCTTGTCCTTGGGTTTCCGGAAACAGGGCAACTTTCGGACCCAGAGTAGCTCATTTTCTGGCCACTTGGTGCACCCCTCAGTTTTCCTGGCCAGGGCAATGGCCGCGATGCCTGGGAGGCAGATGGCTGGCCCGATGGCCAGGAGGGGTATGTTTCCCAGGGTCTCTCCTTTCATCCCAGAGACAGTGAACATGAAGCCAAAGACCAGGAAGACACTGACCAGGGCCACCACCAGCCCAGTCCTCGGGTTGATGTCATCAGGCCGCATCTTTCAATCCATCCAGGTTGGGGGCTTCTTGCTGGCCAGGGAGCAGCTTTTCCGTCTTCCTTCGGAGAGGAAACCACAGTGGATTTAAAAAAAAAAAAAAATCCAAGTCAATTTCCCACCCACCAACCCTGTCTCTTACTCTAAGGCAGCCTGGGTCTCTGCCTCTGTCTCTGTCTCTCCCCGTTTCTGCTGCTCTTTGTCCGTCGGTCTGCGTCTCAGTCTTTCATATAAACGTCCACGGCCGGGGGTCCCTGAGGTCCCCAGGTTTCCTCCGGTCTCCTGGGAGCAGGGAAAGCAGTCAGCCCGGGGCTCCTTAGAAACCGCCGCAGCAGCTGCCGGTGCCCGCGGCTCTGCGCCTCGTTTCTGGAAGGAAAGCCTGGCGTTTCCCACGAGCCCCGCGGGCAGGAGGTGGACGGGGAGCGTGTGTCCCAGCAGCGCGTCGCGTCCCGGGCTCGGGAGCTCCGCGCGGACCGCGGGCGCGGGGGGAG